GAAACTGAGCTCAATACAAGTTCTTCGAGCTCGACATGTTCATCGAGCTCGATCAACAATCTACCTCGCGAAAACAGCCGATATTTCGCGACGCCACCACTGGTTTCCCCGCCAAATGACGTCTGAGAAACGAGCGCAAAAATTCCATACTGATGACGTGTTACTACCCAGATCTGGGTGGTGCTTCTGATTGGTCTTGCCGCGTGGGAAATTTGATTCAACCAATCACGCAAACAAAGAGCACTAAAAGATCAAGGAATTGCTCTCATAAGAAATGAATCTCAAGCAACTGCATCACTTTTATTTGAAACGAACTGGAACGCGTTAAAATATGTAGAGTCAATTCTACGAGTAAGAAATTTATGTACACTGCAGATTAAGGAAAAAATAGATAGTGTTAACTTTTTTCTTTTTATAGACAACGGTTTTTAATTAATGGTGAAGATATTATTTACCAGTGTTCTTAAGTTTTGGTTATTTGGGGCATTCTCCTGACACAGAGTGGACTTTGTGTCGAATTGCACTGTGGGACTGTTTCTGGGGACAAAATTGGCCCAGTTTCCTTCGCGACCTCGTTGTAGCCAACGAAAGAAGCGCTCAGTGAACTCGGTTCCAAACATCACTGCTAGCCACCCCCCCCCCCTTTCTTTTACGGGTCCACAAAACAATCCCATAATGCAACAGGAAACAACACCGACCAGTCTCCCGCTTAAAGCTCAAAATGGCCAATTTTTCAGTTCTGTGTACAGTACGCCTACTTCTGGCTAAGTCCATCTGGAAAACAGCGTCGAATCCTTGCTCTGGGCCCCAACCTGTGTAACAGGATTTGAGTACAAGCCACAAGTGGCCTGTGAAAAATGCCATTGTCGATTTGCTAATTAGGTTGAAGGGAAATTCCGCTAATTCGTTGAGTCCGTTTGGGGCCCAGAACCAACATATGGGCTTTGTCGCGCAGACGTTACTAACCAGAATAAGATTACGTCTGCAACGCAAGCATGCCTGTAACTAGACTAACTAACTTGCAATGCAGGCGTTTTATTTTTTCAGGCGAGTGACGCGCGCGGATTTTCTTGCTTGTAGTCACCAGAAAACACCTGCACTGCACGCTAGCCGTTCTCTGGCTTTCGCTGGCCTTCAAATTAGCCCTAGTGATAATAACAAAATCTTTTGAAAACAGCTCTAGCTATTTGAGAAGAACTTACGTCCGATCATCTTTAGAAATGTACTATTTCTGTACAAAAATAATGCAAACCTGAAGCAACGTAGGGTGCTTATAAACTTCCTCTCTTGATAGTCTTCAAAGATTTTCTTTAACAAAATAATAAATTATCTTACAATATTTCCTTTTAAAGTCGACTTTCAATATAAACCTTAACTTTATAATAAGTTAACAAATACTGAGTCTGATAAATGTACTGCTTAATATATAGCTCTAGAACCTCTGTTTTCTTAANATGCAAACCTGAAGCAACGTAGGGTGCTTATAAACTTCCTCTCTTGATAGTCTTCAAAGATTTTCTTTAACAAAATAATAAATTATCTTACAATATTTCCTTTTAAAGTCGACTTTCAATATAAACCTTAACTTTATAATAAGTTAACAAATACTGAGTCTGATAAATGTACTGCTTAATATATAGCTCTAGAACCTCTGTTTTCTTAAAGTGCCTCCGGCTTATACTTATTCATTCCACAGACCCCTTTCAATTACTTACAGATAAAAAAATTTGAGAAAAATCCTAATTTTCATTCCCCCCCCCCCCTAAAATCAGGGGCGTAGCTAGAAACTTCCACGAGGTACGCGCAAATTTCAAAATCAACCCTACCCTGTCTCCCCGAACGTTACGTTTCCATTTTTTTTCTTCAATATGGTGAGGTCATCACCTTTCTTCGACTTTGGATAGGCTCTTCAGGCAGTAGTTAATACGGCTTTCGCGGGTGGCAAAATCAGGGAACTGAAACAAACCAATCTTGAGGATGTTAAAGGCAAATGACGTAGCCGGGCAATTGCACCGGTTATCCCAACCTCGTCCACAGTGTCTTCTTGTTTTCCAATATGGCGGTGGCAAGAAAAAAGACCTGCTGGTATTTTTGTTTGATAAAAATTTCCTTCACACTCTATTTTGCTTTTACTTTGCCCTTGTCAGTCTTGTTCCCAGATCATCTCACGGCTTCTCCTTGGCCGCCATTTTGAATCTAATCTTCAACCTCGTTGGAGATTTAGATCACGTGATCCGCTGTGTCCCAGGGTCGTCTTTCCTGCCGCCACCATATCGGAAAACAAGAAGAACCTTGGGACGAGGTTAACGGTCAACCTTCATTTATCTTTTTCCCTTGCTTTCTTCGCTTTTTTGTCTTTTAGCTATCTTCGAAATTTTATAGGTACGCGCGCGCGTACTCTCGCACGGGTAGTTACGCCCCTGAAAATACAGAAAAACTAATCATATCATGTAAAACACTACTTAGGACCTTCGTTGCGTGGTGACAACATAGGATTTGATCCACAGATATCCCTCGATATTGACTCCAGGAACTAATCAGGAATGTCCCGCGTAAGCTTACTTTTTACAGTATGAATGAGTCACAAATATACAATTGTGCTCGCTCCAGAATATTGCAATCTATTATAGACGATATCCAGACCGATCAACCCTTCGCAGCTTGTGAAAGATAAAACTTTACCTAGAATCTCACTTCCATTATTTTGGGCCATTATCACAAATCGTAAGCCTACACAGAACATCTCTGACAGGTTCTCTATTTAAAAATATTTCTCAACTCATCGTGCATCCTCAAACTTTCCTCACAACTCTTTTCTGAATCCTAACTTGACTATGTGCGAGGGGTTTCTAAAACCAGACATGTCTCAGGTCAGCCTCAAACCCTTTGACACAAATGTCTATCGAAATTCTGCGAATGAATTATTGAGTGTGACTGAATATAACGCCTTTCGAACAGACTGCCAAATTTCGACTTAGTCTAGGCCTTGTCCCTATCAAATGAAAGAGAAGATCTTCTAAATTCGAGAGGAATATTCCGAAGAAACGACTTTTTTGGTGATAGTCTTCTTAACGAAGTGTTGATTTTCAGCAGCAATTATTATAATATACTGATAAGCTAACATCTTTAATGTGAAGTTACTCACTTACATCCCTCAATAGAATTAACCTGACATGTCTTTTTAAAACAATTACTTTTTAACCAAACTGTTACTGGTTGCGATAATTTAAATAACATTTGAACGCTCTCGCCAATCCATGAAAGAACGGAAGCCATGAACGCTTAGACTCGGTAAAGACCTTGCGTTACATGTTGGCTGTAGTAGTGACATCATAAACTAACCAAAACCGACTGTGAAGATTGGGCCAACTAATACAATCAGCTCTCTCTAAGACAGAAAACTTCGGGACCTGTAGTTTCAAGGGTGATGACCGTCTAACAGAGAGTCAAATAAAGGGAGTAAAAAAAGCATGGAACAACTCTCCCTCTTATAAAGGATGTCCGTCAAGAGAGAGTCGACTGTAAACCATTCGCTACGTTTTACAGCAGCGGTGTCAGAAACGGTACCATGGGTGCCAACGACGTTTCATGGTATGCGCCACTTCCGGTTTCGGAGGAGTCTTTATAATGGGAGCAGTGCAAAAAGAAACCTTAATGCTTTTCCAATTTTAGTCCTATTTTTATGCATAACGTGGTTTCTAGCAAAACAAAGTCACCGCCGGCCTCGCTTCCACTCACGAGCTAGGTTTATTACGTACAACTGTAAATTGGCCAATTGCCGATTTTCTATTGACGCGTACGTGCGATTGACCGTATGTCGGAGTAATAATAAATGTAATAAACTCTGAAAATCCCTCGTTTTGTGTTTCATTGCTTGGTTAAATTCAGAAAACTGGTGGATGCTTATAGTAGATTGAATGCAGAACTTCAATGGTCCATACGAACGGACCCTTCGAATAACCTCAATTAACAAATTGTGAATGTTTCTAACGTTTAACAGAGAGGTCCTCCAAAACCTTGGAAAAGTTCTAAACTCTCTGCCTGAAGTACTGTAAGTAAGAGATGAATAAGTGTAGATCTAAATCATGGCTTTAGAAGGTATAACTCAGATTGTTACTTCACAATCAGTTTTCAAGGGGGATATCGATTTTAGTACTGTAAGTTTGTTTAGAACTAAAGTTGGCCATAGACCTAAACGTTTCGTTTCAACAACCGAACTAAAACACTTAAGAGCTTATTTGATATTTAAGGATTTAAAAAGACTAAAAAAGACCGTAATCGTTAACTTTTGATCATCAATTCCTATTATTTCTCAACCAATTAATCATTGACTGCATCTTAGGAATACTAAAAGCACTGTAAAACATGCTGTTATCTCTTCGCGCTGGGAAGAGCACTTCTCAATCGAGTGTGAAAAAATCCGTTCATTCTTCTCACCCTTGAAGTTTCATTTGAACACAAATGAACATGAATCAGGGGGCACTTTGCCTACCGAACGCTCAAACAAATTGCAAAAGAACATGCCCCTGATTAATCTTAGGCCAATGCAGTATCAGGAACGTACACACCACTGACCAGTGTTTGGCCATCACGGCTTTCATGTACTCGTGCATTTCGGTCATTTGGCATAGAGACCTCGAACAAACCTTTAAAGCTACGGTAAAACGGGCAACAAANAGGCCAATGCAGTATCAGGAACGTACACACCACTGACCAGTGTTTGGCCATCACGGCTTTCATGTACTCGTGCATTTCGGTCATTTGGCATAGAGACCTCGAACAAACCTTTAAAGCTACGGTAAAACGGGCAACAAAAACGTGGAACTTTTTTTGGCAAAATTGCCGCAGAACGTGTTGAAAAGCGATGTTGCGTAGAACCAGTCCCTACTTTCTGCAACAATTTTTCGCAACCTGCAACAGGTTTGAATGTGGCTGGTAAAACGCAAAACATAGCTTTTGCCAAACAAGCTGTACGTTTTTGTCACCCGTTTTCCCGCACCTTAACTGCTCCATTCCTTCAGCACTTGAAGACAGTCGTCCCGCTTCATTTCCTTGAAAATGTCAATGAGAACATCGACCGTCGATCCTTCCTGCTGCCCCCACTCGTTCAATAAATTTTGGGTCGCCTCCTCTGGTTCTAACCCAAAGTTTTGAACGTGAGTGCTTGTAAAGCCAAGAAGTCCTGCCAATTTTGCCCAGTTGTTAAAAGACTTTGGGTTAAGAAGTCTACCCAATTCTATAAAAATATGTCCGGGTAAATCTCGGACGAGCATCTTGTCTGCAAGGCAGTAACAAAAGCAGTTGCGTATGTAAGGTTTTATCAGAGGTATCTACCAATTTTCCATATCTTCCCAAACTTCTTATTTCTCCTGCACGGCTTCCACATTCCTTAATTCGCCAATTTAAAAGCGAGGAGACTGGTCCGAGTTAACGTTTGCAAAGACTTCTGGGACTGTTGCTAGGCACAGGGAAAGAATAGACCAATGGTTGACCTGCGCGTCCCCTGCAATGATCCCAAAAACAATTGCGAGACGCATTTCGGTCCCAGTTCCTTTATCGTTTTCCCACATTCCTTAATAACCCACGTTTGACTACCAAAATTCTCACATGACTCCAAGGCTTTAGGGACTAAATTGCGTATTTTTCACGACTCCATTGTCTCGCAGTTCCCATAAGAGACTTAAGCAAAAAGAAAACCGAACCAAATACAGTCGAAGCTCCTGTAAGCGACGACCCAAAATGAAAAGACCAGGTGGTCGCTTACAAGAATCGAACCACAGGGAGCCTCTTCCGAGAAGAGGCCCGGGCACATCTACTTTATGGAAGGTAATTTGTTGCATGCAAGTTACGGCATGTGTAGGTCCAAGTTGTTACTAATGTTTTTCGTATATTCTAGGTAACACAGTGCACACAGCGAACATAGAGATCACAGAATGCGTCAAGTGGTTGCTTACAAGAGGTTAAAAACAATAGAAAATCATTAAGGGGTCACGGGCGCTTACGGGGGGTGGTCGTTTGCTAGTCTAAGAGGTTTCAACTGTAAGGCTTTTACTGGGAGAAGTTTGGTGTTTTGGATCTGTGGTTACTTATGGGAGGCGGTTGCACGTGGAGGTTCGACTGCATAGAAAAATGACGAGAAAGCCACGGAGTCATGTTAGAATTTTAATGTATTGAACGTTTGGAATGGACGGAAATTCCTAGTGCAGTTTCCAGATTTCTTGGTTACATTACGCGCGTAAGAGTTAGCATACCAAGAAGATCCAGGGACTTGCTCCCACAGGAAAATGTGAAATTTAAGTTTCCTAGAATCACTGGAAATGCTTCAAAATTCCTTCTCAAAGTACTGCAAACTGACTCTCATAAGGCCTGGACTTACACATTTTCGTAAGGAATTTTACCAGGGCTTATATAGCGAAGGGAAGCAGGATACAAAAGAGCGGTAGTGGGGACAACAATTTTGTCAAATGGAAAGGAACATTTCGGTCCGACCGACCAAAAAGACCGGATCGGTCAAAGGTGGTCTCAAATAAACCGGTTGGACCGAACCGAAATGATCCGCTCCATTTTATTTCTAACCGCAAATTTGGGCTCAATGGAAAGCGCCCATAGTGTTCGATCGTCTTAACAGGGGCACCCAACGACTGTTTTCGGTAAAATATCTGTTCGGAGAACCAAATATTGCCTAGAATTTTGTATTACTTGAGGACGGCTAAAAATTTCTAGATGACCATTCCATTCATGCACCATTTTTCAAGTTTATTTAAAAAATTCCCCACGATTTTCTGAAGCTTGATTTTTCACATTTCACTCCCCAGGTTAGACTATTTTTCGTAGCAAATAGGAAGCCTAAAATTTTCGGATTCAAAACTGTGATGGAGGGAGGATCAGAAAATTGTCACCTTCGTAATACGTTAAATTGCGTCTAAAATTTTCAGGAAAATAATACTGAAGCCCTTGTAATTTTGAGAACACTCACGTTCCCGTAGGATGACCGAACAGATACAAATTTTATAGCGCAGCTTAGAATATCATTTCTAGAGATCCAAAGTACTCTAGATAGCCTAAAAAGTGTTTTCAATGTATTTAGGAGGAAACCGTCTTTGGGTGCCCCTGTTATAACCATGAGGACGTTTCATGCATAAAGAGGGACCACGATAGCTTTACTTACTCTTGCCGTTGTTTTCATCCTGCGGCGATTCTGATTCTTTCCTGTGAATGCTGTTTCTTGAGTGATGATTTCTTCTTCCTCGTAGTCCTTGGGACGAACGTAATTGCGCCGGAGTTCCTGACCCCGCGGTCGCTGGAACCGGAAAATGGTATTCACGCTCACAGACTTCTACAAAATGGTGACCTCGAGTTAGTGCCTCTTAGCGAGAGTCCGTAATAGCGGGAGTTCATTTCAGTCAAACGTCTGTAATTTGCTTTTGCCGGCGATTTAGTTACTGTCCGTTTTATCGGGGTGTCCGTTATAGCGGGTTGTCCTCAAGGCGAGAGTTTGACTGTATTTATAAATTGCAGTGATATATTCGCCGTAAGCGCATTAGTTTTGTGGCGTTCGTTTAAGACGGTTATTAGAATAAACGTCCTTATCTTTTAAACGCCTCTTATCTATCATACGCCCCCGTTCGGGCTTCTAAACTTAAATAGACGCCACGGGAGCCTATTAGATCGGTTACGGTGTTTAGTGAAAGGCCTCGCCTTAAGTACAGATTATAGGTCGACCCCAATTGCTGCCCAATTGCAATCAATCTTCTTCAACAATATTTTCTAATGGTTGAAATTAGCTAGATTGCGTTTTACATCATTCCTGTAAAATACTGGCTATCGAGGAGTATTTACAGTCATCTCGCCACCAAGAAGTGGACTCGTCACAAACGAATAACTATACTAGTAGACACAGTTTGATTACATAGTATTACTTACCTAGGATTTTTACTTCTTCGCCAAGCAATCACTGCTTGACGAGGAAGTAAAAAAATCTGTCGATCCTAACTAACGATCCTTGCGTCGAACTTTTCATGATTTTTAGTAATACACTCCAAATACTGAAAATAGATTCGGATAATGTTCGACATATAATGTTCGGTTTATGTTCGACATTTACCTTCCATGCAATCACTTAAAAAAACTGGCACAAATACCAGATACCAAATACAAAACATTTCACAAGTTCCAGTCATTTCTTTGGAATATGATAAAGTAACGGTTCAGAGAAAATGTCTTTTTATGAAAGTCCTTTTCATTTGATGGATGTTCTTAGGACTTCTTACAGTGCGACTACTCGAACCGGGGCACGAGGAAGAAGATTACCCAATCACAACGGTTTTTGAATACAAAGGATTCTCAATTGTTTTGCAAACGGACCAATGATATTTATAAATTTGATGGCTGTTTCCTGAAAGGTACACCGTAATTTTTAGGGAGTTATTATAACTCCAAAAATGGAGTAAAAATTTTAGGTACAGGATAACCCCATTTTTGGGGTTATTTTAACTCCTAATTTAACTGCGAATTTGGGATCATTTTTACTCCTGAAAAAGAGTTCTTTTACTCCCAGTCTGGAGTTAAAATTACTCCGAAATGGGGTTACTTATACTCCTTACATGGGTTGTTTTTACTCTTTTTGGAGTTAATTTAACTCTGAAAGTGGAGTAAAAATTTTAGGTACAGGATAACTCCTTTTTGGGGGTTATTTTAACTCCTCAATATCTGGGGTCACTTTTACTCCTGAAAAAGAGTTCTTTAAACTCCTTTTTGGAGTTAAAATAACTCCACGAAAAATAACTCCACTGTAAGGAGTTAAATTAGCCCCACTAGAGGAGTTATTATAACTCCCTGAAAATTACAGTGTAAGGTACTGTATAAGTTTAAAAAGTTTTCAACAGTTGCATAGTCGGAACCTTGAATTTTATTGGTCCGTTTGCAAAAATTAGACAATTTTTTATTTTTATTTTATTTCGCCACCTTATTAGGACATAGTAATGAATTACAGGAATCTGTTAGAATATGGCAAGAAAGCCCAAAGAAACCATGAGGCTTATACAACGTGGTCTTTCCCTATTAAATTACAAAAGATAAACTCAATATCACTTTAACTGAACGGCGAAGGCAGCGAAACAATAATACGAAGAAATAAGGTATCAAACAAACAAAAAAGAGATAAGGAAAAAAAATAAAGACAAAACACAAAGCTGACAAAAGGGGATGGAGGGAAAGAAAGAGATTAGTTAAATGAGAAGGTGTTTCTTCAGTTTTTTCTTAAAAGTTGATACTCTAACTGAGAGAGAACTAGAATGTCTAGACTAAGTGAGTTAAAAAGCAAGGGACCTTGGTACTGAATGAAAGCGTCTTCTGTTAGTTCTGAACGTAGGAACTTGAAAGGAACTGAAAATCTATTGTATTCAAAAAACATTGTGATTGGATGATCTTCTACCAAGTGCCCCCGTTCGAGAAGTCGCACTGTAAAGTTTAAAAGTCCTATTCTTGGTGGCGAAATGGTTTGGTGGCGAGGTGACCGGATACCGAAGATATTCAACCTACCTTGAGTATGGGAGGTATCTGCGCAGGTACCACCAGATCGTCTTCGTTTTAAGACAAAACAAAGAAAAGCTGCCACAACGACACAAATTATCAAGCCAACAGAAACGATGGCGATGATGTATTTGTACTGCGAGCTAGTCTTTACTGTAACTTGATGAGGATTCCCTGTAACACTGGAATAAACTTGCTGAAGAGTGGCTGAAAGAAATTCCAAAGGAAAATCAGGTTTGTGGACTACATTTTCTGAGGATATCTTTCTGCTATCTAGTTAATGCGCGTCGAAAACTGACAGGGAGGTCAGTAAAAGCGTCCTTTTTAGATAGGGAACATAAAGATAGAGAAAAAAACTAATTGGAGCGAGTTTTGAAGGGGGTTTGCAAAAACGTTGGCTGCAGAATACGAGGATGCCAGTGGACGGGGACAGCCAAAAAATATTCCTAAACTTTTGGTAGAAACGGAATCCGAAAGAATTCAATTATCCTAACAGAATACCCAAAAATTGCGAGTGCAGGGTTCTGAATATTTTAATTCTTCCGGGAAGCGAGCAAAATTGGGCGGGTGATTTTTCGTGAGATAGTCTTTCAAAAATCGAAAACAAAGCGTCCAAAAATCAAACTAGAAACTGTCAAGGACGATGAAACGAACAAACGGCAAATTTGAAGAACAAAATACTGAATAACGAGTAATCAATCTTAACAATGCATAGAACCGCAAAGTCGAAAACCCCAGTTACCCTCGAATAAAATTGTTAAAGACAAAGTCAGTTTAGCCTACAATACAATTGAACCTCTATTAATTAAGCGGCCACTCTCGGGCTGTTGGCAAGTCAACGCTTAATAAACTTTGGCCGCTTAATAGAGGTACGTCATAAATTAGCATAGTCTTTTGCAGAAACATCTCTTTTGAAACAATCGCGCGACGGGAGCAGCATTACTGGTCCACAATCGATCTCCACCTTCTATCTCGGACAGCATTTTCCTTCATCATATTCCTGAAATAAGGCCAAACTTAGTGTATCAAGGGCTTGATGGCCGCTTAATAGAGGTGTCAACAATGGGAGAACTCTCTTTGGGACGGCCAAAAGCTGGCCGCGGCCGCTTAAGAGCGGTTTAGGTACCCATTCTTTTCTACAATTATTTCGGGCCTTTGATTACTGGCCGCTCAATAGAAGGTGGCTGCTTAATAGGTGGCCTCTTTATAAAAGTTCAACTGTACTTCTTACTTACCAGAGGCAAAGCTCTGTGATGACGTAATTAAATGAAGTGTAACGTTTGTTCTTTCGCAGATGGTATCCCTAGACGCGTTACACTCTTCTTTGACAATCATAATTCCNNGGTTTGCAAAAACGTTGGCTGCAGAATACGAGGATGCCAGTGGACGGGGACAGCCAAAAAATATTCCTAAACTTTTGGTAGAAACGGAATCCGAAAGAATTCAATTATCCTAACAGAATACCCAAAAATTGCGAGTGCAGGGTTCTGAATATTTTAATTCTTCCGGGAAGCGAGCAAAATTGGGCGGGTGATTTTTCGTGAGATAATCTTTCAAAAATCGAAAACAAAGCGTCCAAAAATCAAACTAGAAACTGTCAAGGACGATGAAACGAACAAACGGCAAATTTGAAGAACAAAATACTGAATAACGAGTAATCAATCTTAACAATGCATAGAACCGCAAAGTCGAAAACCCCAGTTACCCTCGAATAAAATTGTTAAAGACAAAGTCAGTTTAGCCTACAATACAATTGAACCTCTATTAATTAAGCGGCCACTCTCGGGCTGTTGGCAAGTCAACGCTTAATAAACTTTGGCCGCTTAATAGAGGTACGTCATAAATTAGCATAGTCTTTTGCAGAAACATCTCTTTTGAAACAATCGCGCGACGGGAGCAGCATTACTGGTCCACAATCGATCTCCACCTTCTATCTCGGACAGCATTTTCCTTCATCATATTCCTGAAATAAGGCCAAACTTAGTGTATCAAGGGCTTGATGGCCGCTTAATAGAGGTGTCAACAATGGGAGAACTCTCTTTGGGACGGCCAAAAGCTGGCCACGGCCGCTTAAGAGCGGTTTAAGTACCCATTCTTTTCTACAATTATTTCGGGCCTTTGATTACTGGCCGCTCAATAGAAGGTGGCTGCTTAATAGGTGGCCTCTTTATAAAAGTTCAACTGTACTTCTTACTTACCAGAGGCAAAGCTCTGTGATGACGTAATTAAATGAAGTGTAACGTTTGTTCTTTCGCAGATGGTATCCCTAGACGCGTTACACTCTTCTTTGACAATCATAATTCCGGCTGGTTCGCACTTCGTACACTTGATGCATTTGTCTTCAAAACTTTCCAGGTCTGAGAATGTGCCCTAGAGTAAGAAACAAGTTTGTCATTTCCTCGACGTTTTCAAAATACCCCACGCAAATGTGAGTTTTTTTCTCGTCCGGTTTATCTGATATGGGAAAAGCTCTGCCGGGAAGGAGGGTCACCCTCTCAGTCAGGTTGACCCCTTTGCCCGCGCCAACAGCGCTCGCCCATGCTCCGATTATCTCCCCTTGACCGAGTTGACCCCGCTGGGTAACCCTACGATCGAATAGGGAGGCCCGGCTAGCCGAGCCAACTGTACAGTACAGCAAATGATCTCCAAAATGGATGGCTCGTGCTCTCGTCCCAACTTTCGCGACGAACTCGCGTGGAAACGATTGCTACGCAGGCTACTTATACAAGTGATACCTTCACCAGCAAGCAACTAGCGACTAGAAAGCCACTGAGATAAAGGTGCGTTTTGTTCGACACCGTTATTAACTAATAACTTGATTTGAGCTGATGCAGGAGTGCTGTCAGAGTAGTCAATAGAAGGACTAGAGCAGGAATACCAGAGAGACAATGTTTTATCAACTGAAGATTTGACTAGGCATTTGGATTCTATTGCGTAGCTGAAAACACTTTTAAGAGACCCGCTTCCCGAACCATAAAGCATCATTTAACAACTCTAGCAAGAGAATGAGCACCGAGCTAAGTAAAAATGTATGGAACCTTAAGGCAGTAACATTAACTTCTTGAAGCAGGGTATCGCCTACAACCGCTCTTCAAAACGGTGTAATTTATGTCTGTGGGAGAAATGTTTTATAATCTGTAAGCCACTTCTAGCCACTCTTAACAAAGGCAACGATCTTGTATCTTCGTGAGGACACGCTAGCAAATTTCTGTTAAAAAATTTCAAGTTCTCTTCTGTTACATAATAGAACCTAGAGAAACAGCGTTGTTTCTACTTTAACTTCATTTTGAAATTTCAGTTATAATCAGCGTACTGTTGTGATCTATCATTACGCTATTTTCTCTGAAGAGTGCTACACCATCGTGTAGTACGAAACTATATGTAATAAAATACCTAGTCAAATCTTCAGTTCATAAAATATTGTACTTCTAGTATTAACTAATTATATATACATACCTTTGGGCATGGTTCACATTTCGTGTCACTATCTTCTAAACAGGGTCTCACCACCCCCTCTCCCACGGGACACTTTTTGCAGTCCATACAAAAGAGGTAATGTGAATTGTGGAATTTGCCGCGTGGGCAGCCGCACTTCGTATTTTTCTTGGCTTCACATTCCTCAAGTTCAATTTGGGATGGTTCACACTTTGTGCATGGCTGACATTGTGAGTTGTTATTGTTATGGTCCATGAACGTGAACGACTGTCAAAGCAAAGGAAACAAATAAATCATTCTACCCTAAGGACTCGTCCGGGTATCTGAAGTGATAGGGAACGCCGAGGACGGCAGCGGCGATGATATCTTCGCTTAAAAAGTGTCATCGCGTGCTTTCAATCTTAAATCACAGCCAAATGATGTATCTGCTAACAGGGTACGGAGACACAAGATTCTAGTGAGACGCCACTGACTACATAAATGTGAAACACACTGGAGCAATAGAGAGCTTTAGATTTGAAGACGAGGGCGACTACGAGTACGACATTTATCTTAAATTTTTTTCGCGTATTCTCGAAAAATATTCAACCCGGAAAGCTTCTTTGTACTATTTTTCACATGAAAACTTAATGCGGTTATTTTTATTGGAGAAGGTTTAGCCCTTTCCCGGTCGCAAAATGATTAAACTTCTAAAATTTCATAACTTGTTCCCGCCTGACTACATTCTCGCTAAAACTCGTAGTAGAATGACGACGGCTATCATGTTTTCCCGCCAGATTCAGGTATTGGGAAAATGTCGTACTCGTTGTCGTCCTCGTCTTAGAATCTAAAGCTCTCTAATATAATGGTTAAGCCTCCTTATGATACTCCACCAAAAATTACAATCTCTGTGTTACAAAGCTGACCGCAAACAATTTTAAACCACCAAAAAGGAAGTCACTCACTATATTTTAAGATGAAATGATGGACAATTATTTCACAGCCTAAAACCTGTGGAATAATTGTGTTGTTCCTTCAATCCTTGACTGTCCATCATTTCATCTTACTACAAAGTACCCTGGAAGGGGGGGGGGGGCGATCCCTATAATGGCCCATACATGGAGGCTCCGCCAGAAAGGGGTATATTTTTCAAGCTTCAGGTATATGAAAGGGTAGGGATTTCGCTACTTGGAGTGTACGTAAGGGTAGGGAAATCTTTCATTTTGATGTGTAAAAAAACTCCAAAAAGGCTGACAGGTAAATTTTTGGACTTTGAAAAGAACAGTATGTAAAAATTCTAAATGATAAAATTGGTCATAGTTATCGTGCTGAAGGTAAGCTATATTTTTGTTATTTTTATTTTTTCCAGTTTTCAACACTTTTTAGTATTATTAACAAAGAGGGGGGGGGGGGGGGGGGGGAGGGCGCTCCCTATAATGGCCCATACATGGAGGCTCCGCCAGAAAGGGGTACCTTTTTCAAGCTTCAGGTATGAAAGGGTAGGTATGAAAGGGTAGGGATTTCACTACTTGGAGTGTACGTAAGGGTAGGGAAATCTTTCATTTTGATGTGTAAAAAAACTCCAAAAAGGCTGACAGGTAAATTTTTGGACTTTGAAGAAGCTTAGAAAACGCTACGGTTTTGTGATCGATTCATATATGAAAAAGTGCATTTACAGCAACTAAAAGATCCTAAAAGGAACGCAAAGTTGTAATCTACGTTTGTGAAAGAGGTACCATTTGTCAATAGAAGGTATACGAAAGGGCTACATTTTCTGTCAAAGGTATTTGACCTTGCGGTGGAGCCTCTCCGAGTATAAAACTTTCTTCAGTATCCCTCCACCCCCCTGAGTACTGATTATACTTTCAATGAAGTTGCCAGAAATAAGTTCTGGCTGGACTTTATTTAACTTTGTGACGAGGATTCGATAAGAAGAATGACTAAAATCACATTAAAAAAAATGTTTTTATAACTTACAGGGCAAGCCTCACAAGAGGAACTCCCACGGTCCTCTGAACAAGGATGGCTGAGATACGTGCCTTTAGAGCAAAGCTGGCAGCATATGTTCCCATGTTGGTAAAACGTTTCTGGGCAAAAGCTAGAGACTAGCAGAAGCGCTTCAGCAACGAGTAGAATCTACAACAACAGAAATAAAAGTGTAGTTTAATTACATCTTAAGGACAAAGTTGGAGCAAATCAAAGTAACTTCTCTTTGATTTTGCGAAGTACGTGTTACTTCTCGCGCGGTTTGCACGAAGCTGTGAAACTTGACTACGTGTTTTCAAGGGAAAACGCAGGAATTTGTCGGGAAGTGGATGGAGAGGAATTACCTATCAAAATTAAAGTCTGTATTTGAAGGTATGTTTTGAAATTTGGCACGAATGAGCGTATGATGAGTACTCGAATGGATTTTATTTTACAAAAGAAATAAAGAAATATTTCTCAAATTACTTTAATAATAAGGCAACTTAAATAGACTGTATATGAAAACAGATACAAGGTTCTTAACATATATAGATAAACAGAGATTCAATCCAGTGTTCTTATGAAGTGCTCTAACAAGGAGGCGCTTGAAGAGTTTTTTCTTCATTTTCGTTTTCAAATGTACTGTTCATGTTTTAACTACATTTTACATGTCACTTATCATCCTTCTCTCAATAAACTCCAGAATACATTTATAAAATTTCTGCAAACGTCTCATTTTGCTATTGCACGGAAATCAATATTCTTCTCTAAAAAATTGTACCCAAAAAGACGTATGAGGTCGATCAGGAGCTCGGGAGTGGAGAAGTTTCTCTTTCCCGCGTGCCCTGGGGTGGGGAACAGACCACCAAGAGAGAAAAAATGGCAAATCCCCGAGGAGTATTAAACAGATCAAATTGAACCATGCAGAAATGCAGTCTCATGCATATTGCATTTAGTTTGGAAGCCTCATTAACAAATGAATACAGTATTCAATTGCACTGGAAGGGGTCGGGCTCGTAAACATTAAGACGTTAGAGCTCGTGACATCAAGTGAACACATAATAGATAGACATTTACCAGACCAGATGGTTAATGCAGTCAATGAAACATGAAGCCCTAAGAGGGGTAGGCTAAGCTAGCCTGCCCCGATGTATGCTCGTTTGCATCTTTAAAGCCTTATTCATAAATGAAAGCACGCTATTCTTTAAGTTATAAACAAAAGCTGTTCATGGCTGGAACCTTACTAATTTGTAGAATGTTTGTCATAATATACGTTTCTTATCATCGCGCAGATTGGTCCCTGTTTTCAAGGCCCTATTCATGGCTACACTTTTATCAAGATAAGACTAGGTAGCTTCAAAAGTAGGTTGATTTTGATCGCCCGGGTGAACGTATAGTACTGAATAGGACTGTTGTTTTTGACAGTGACTGACGTTTCGACAACCTGTGCGGTATACATCCTAAGTGACTCTGAAGGCTGCGGAATAGTGACATAGATCGCACACGTGGCGTGATAGATTTCGAGTGCCGAGCTGTTACTTCCATTAGACTTTCAAAAAGGTCCTTCGTCTGGTCGCTCGCGTTCGGTCGCTTCGCGGCCAAACAAGGCTCGCTCCGCTCGCCAAGAGTTCGACTTGTAACAAGTCTGACACTCCATGTGCGTCTAGTTTTAACTGAATGTGAATGTTTTAACTGAAATGTGCGTCTAGTTTTAACTGAACAAGACTTAAAAGTCTTGTTCAGTTCATGCATGTACAATGTAAGTAGTAAACAATCATCGTCTTTTTTTCGCTATGTTGGAAATATGATTTGTGCTCAAAGAGGCAAGCACATCAGGCACATTGTCGCTAATAAAACAAAATATAACGACATTTTGAATCGTAACGTCAACCATTCCTCAACGTTTTTCTTCTCTTTATGATTTACTTTCCATCTTTTCAAGTTCTAACCCAACTTCAAAATATACCCTTTATTCAAGTTGATTATGAAAAATGTTTTACGGCCATCAACCGAAAAGTGCTGGGCATAAAACAGCCTGAATTCAACGAAAATCAAAAAATAGGAAATCGACCAAAATTTATATAGAGACTTCATTTTCAGTTTACTTGGTCCGTCCTTGTGACGTAAAAAAATATTAAATCCCTTCAGTTATCATCATCCGTGTCAAATTTTTGTTATGAATACATTGTGAATCGCTACGCTTTTCTTCTGACTTTTTTTCATGATTTCGAAAATCAAGAAGATTTGAACTTGTTGAAAGTAAGCGAGAACGTAGTTTAATGTACGGAGAAACTGCTATCCCGCTCAACCGAATTGGCTGCTAGAACTGAGGATCCTAGTAGCTTTCAAAACTGTGTACCGTTTAAAGGCTCAGTAAAATAAAATTCCTTTACAGTTATGCAGGGCCCGTATTTAGAAGTCTCTAGACACTGAATCAGAAACAAAAAGTGATAAAGGCCGAAAGTGTGGAGGTTTTGGTTAGAATTTACATGGAGCTCGATCAATGGTCAAAAAAGGACACAAAAACCAGTAATAAGACTATTTTGTATAGCGACATCTGTTTAGAGAAGAAAAGACAACCAAATCCACATTTTTTTTGCCATTTGCAACACCTAAAGAAACTAGACTTGCCGGGAGAGTCGGCGTACAAGTTAAGAAATTGTATAGAAAAAACAACAACAGGCAAAAATCCCCGATTAGTAGGCTACTTGTGGCTAGCTAGAAGATTTTGACATGTGAACAAAGTTGTTCATTTATTCATTTATTCAAAAGAAAATGCCGAAATCAAAATAATTATTTGTGTTGTCGCCAAAAGACGTCTCTTTTAAAATCATTACTGAATTTGTTATTTTTGGAAACTGATCATCATCACCGCAAGTACTATTTTTAAATGTATTTGCTTTAACAGATGCGTTCGAACAAGGCTATCAAAAAAGGTGAACGATAATCGATGCTTCAAGTGTTTTCTTTCCTCTGTTTGTGCTTGTTACATTCATAAAGCTAAAGCCTTGATCATCGGTCAAAATGCACTGCCTTTACGATTCAAACGTGGTTAAAAGTCGACGGAAATTGTACAAAGTCAGCGAGTAAACATTTACACACATGTACCCTGGTCTAAGGGGTTTCATTTCTCCAATTTATTGTCGTCGCTTCTCGGTTCAAGTTCGTTTGGGAAGAAAAAATGAAAAAAACCTCTGGGACCAGGGTATTGATGGGCCACTTACTATTTTATGCTGTATATTTTGTTGCTCTCTCATCCTTAGATGGTCCTATGCCAGTGGTGATTATGTATGCTTTTAGCTTAACACTTATTCCTACTCTTCACTTCTTAATTAAAGACATGCCTTGCTTGCTGTCATTATGAGGTCTGAGAGTTGCATGTCAAAACAAGTAGACTTAATACTCTATTGCGAAAAACAAGGAGTCTAAAGGGAAAGTCCCTCTGAACAATGCTCTCTTTTGGAAGATGACACCTTTTATCGACTTTCAGTTTTGTGTCTGGGAATCAGACGCCGTCGCCCACACAATTGTACGACACAATGAGACAGCATACCAGACAGCATTCCTAATTTGTTTTTAAAAAAATCTTTGATAACTTGACAAGTCTTAAATCAGAATTTCTTACTGATAACGTGAGGCCAATATCAAAAAAGGCTTTCTCCCAAAGAAAAAAAGAAAAAAAAAAATGCCGGGAGACGATAGGCGGGGAAGAGTGGAAAGAGAGATTACGAAGTTGGCTCCATTCGCACTTGTTACTGTTCCAAAGTCCAGTTTTTTTCTTACATGCATGTTGATACACGCGCAGGCTAAGTGACCCTGTCATGAAGGCGTTTTCCTTATTCCACATGTACTACACTATTGAAAGTGTTGGCTTCACTCTCTGAGTGAATCATGAAAAAAAAAGTCTTATATAACAGACAAGATCCCGATGGTGTGACCATTCACATGAAACTTTCTCGTGGTACGATTTGTTTTTCAGCATTTTACAAAACAAAATTTGGAATTTTTGTCTAATTTTGGCTACTTCTGGACGTGAAACGGGTAAAAAGAGCGGCTTTTATTTCAGCGTTAGCTAGCGTTTGAAGAAGAATAACCATGCTTTATAGCAATGACGCATGTTTATTGCTGTAGCAAATGAGCCTTGTGATCCACAGTTATATAACACATTATCCATTTAATAACAGACATTAAAAAAATGCTCATTTCCCTTCATTAAATCACTTCTGAATTTTGCTCTACCTTCATTTTCCTGTCTACACGACATTAAAATTCTATTAGCCTCCAAGCTGCAGCAAGGCTGACCTAAAAACATAATAAACTTTGATGGACTTTGCTGTACTTTCGTAAAAATGAATTTTTCAAAACACTTATGAGCTGTGGCTGTCGGAAAAAAAAATAAAAGAAAAAATCTTACTCAAACGTTTCGTTGTGAAAAGGCAAACTGTTGAAGTAACTGGCTTTAAGTCAGTCAATATTGATTTGACCGGCTGAACCCTTTCAAAATATTTCCATTCCAAAGAAAACTTGACCTGAAAAAGGTTAATAGTGGAATTATCAAGTGAAGAAAAAAACGTACTCATCCTGTCAGGCGAATTAAAGTTTCAATTACCTCAAGCGAAAAAATAAAAAGATAAATAAATGAATAAATAAATTAAAAGATTAAATATAAATCTATGGGCCAATTAACTTCATTAGAAGAACAAAATGTTAGTTGCCATGGGTAACTTGCTAGTACATATCTAGTACGTTTGTTTTATTACCACAGATTCAGCAAAAGTCAGCTAACGGTACCGTAGTGTATCAAATCGACAGAAATTAATTTCAGCAGTCTTCCTTAAATCTTCGCAAGAGTGTGAATGAAAAACAAAGGTTCTTTTGTTCACTGGGAGATGACGAGTGAATCGCTGTTACGACCATTTTCATTACATTATAGTGCAAAAGGCTTGTATAAAAAAAAATATTAAAATACTAGCAAAACGACACATTATTGATTTCTACACGCTTAAATAGACACTAAAAGGTGGAAAGAAATTAAGAGCTATCTTGTATCGATATCTACAAGATTACAAGATTAATCGCAGTAGCAAACGTCGGCACAAAAGCTTTCTTCATCTCAAGTCCTTGTTGCCCTTTAACTTTGCTCAAGTTTTCACGCCAACCAAACTTTCAAATGCTGAATGAACTAGACGCTTCAAGGATTATTGCATTGTTGCACTAGTAATGACTATCAAAGAAGACAGTTTTTAACTTTTTTTAATCTCAAAAGTGTCACAGAAAGCAAACTTGTAGCTGCGGCACCATGCGAGATAGGCGGCATGAAATTGTAGAACGGTCCTTTAACTTTCTCGATATAATGGCCTGGGTTATAAAGACTCGGACCTCTTATTGTAATCTGGCTTAACAGCAATAAATGTAGATCTTTACAAGTACAGTACATGCAATATGGGACGTCTTTTGAAAACAAAATTGCCTGACTAGTTTCGGAAAAGTTTGAATACACTAACTGGTGTTGCGTAGTTCAGCTGCTTTTATATGCTGAATATGCGTCGGTAAAACCGACCAATAATAGAGACTAAGCAATGAAAAATCCGGTCGTATCAACGAAAACACTTCAGATAAGAAAGTTAAACTGAGACTGTTTTTTACGAGTGCAAGAAAAAACTGTGGTTGTTTCAGCGAGATAATCGTATAAACGAATAAGCTACCAGTCTCCAGCGGCGTATGGTAGGTAATGATCCTTTCACACACCGCTTACGTTTTGTTATTGTAGGTATTAAATCTAGATGATAAGGGCACGTTTTTAATCTCCAAGTAAAGTTGACCAAACTTCTCGGACTAGTAACGGGTCCGCAGTTTTCGTCCCACGCTGTAAAGCGATGATTGTAGATAGTTTTAGAGATACACCGAATGCAATCACACTCAAGATGGTGAAAAAAATTTTAATACCACCTGGTCAATGCCAAGTCGCGAAATTCATCGCTTAGTTTATTGTTGTTTTTTTTCTTTTTCGTTACCTTTTAAATTCCCAATAAACTTAATGAAGCACTGGCTGAGTTACATTTTTAAGTTGATGTAAACTGCTGTGCAAAGACTCTTGCCCCTCACCGCAACAAATATAACAGAGCTTCATGACTACATACGAGAGCCTCTGATTTGGAAATAAAACTTGTCATAAGCCTAAAATTCTTTATTCGGCATGAAATGCAGAGTTACTCAATAGTTTCTACGTTTTGCTGGCCGAAATGGTGCAACTTTGTTTAAAAACTCGAAAAAGAAATAGCTGTCGAGAAAGGCCTTCAATGTGCACTTCGCACAGTGAAAGAGCAAGGACTGAAAAGCATGTTAACTATTTGAACCCAGCTGTTTAAAATAGAGTAGACTGAAAAAGATTTATGAACGCTATTTCGGGGCCATTGTTTAGTCATTAGCAACCATTAGCCGAAAATCCAAATATTTATGAATCGATTAACGTACGTTGGCCACAACTGTTTTATGAAAAACACAAGATGCGGAACATGCTTATGAATGCTCAATTGTCGA